GACTTGGACAATAGAAATAAATGATACAGCATGCGCAATATGCAGGTGACTATTTCCAGGGCACGTATCACCAGCACTAGTTTATTTTAAATTCAGTTTATTTGTAAGTGCTTTGAGTCACTTCACTTCCATCTTCAGTAACATACTCCAACTATATAAGGTAAAGTAATCTACACAAACAGTATGTATCATTTCCTCTTAAGTTTTGATAGGTTCAATCAGCTTCCTATTGTCTTGAAATGCTAGATCATCTTTTTTCTGTGTTTCTTAAGATATACCTTCTGCGGAAGTATAACAGAGAAGTAAAGACGTTTCAGATCTAATTAGTCATTTTCCCAGTTTTCCCACGGCAACAAGAGAGGTCAAATTCTATGCCCATATCTGAACTGTTTTCAACATTTACTGGGCCATGTCATGAGCCTCCTATTCAATGTCCCCAGGGAAACAAACATCCATGCTCGTGTGGACGTGGCCCTGGAGAGCAACATGTAGATTAAAAGCTTGCAAGTTTCTTGTACGATGAAGACTAAAAGCAACACACTCCAGTGGAAGGGTTGTGCAAAAGGAAGAGAATGCAATTCCTTGCATGCTCATGTCTCTGAAAGCCCCATGTGGCGGTGAGGTCTGATTGGGATGTGACGTAAACAGCATCATTCTCCTGAAGATCAATTGTTAAAGCTGTCTTTTTGTCAGTGTAGTTTGTTTTACCCCTGGGATGTTGCTTTACTTTTTCTTTACTTTAGATTCTTAGTCTACAGAACTAAGATATTGTGAACATATAGTAATGACAACAGAAGTTATTGGTATTACTCAGGCTTCATTTGGAACAATCTATACATTCAGAAGTCAGGGTGCACTGGTATGACTACTGCAAACATTTTATATTTGATGAATCAGAATCATGTAAAGACTTGAAGTGGTAAAGAGAAGAGGAAAGAATGTAAAACTCAGCTAGGATGGATTGTTCTGTTTGGTTCTATGTAGCTGAAAGCGTAGGGCCTTTACTTTCTGTGTGCTGTGCATTACATTCCCAGTGGTTTGATGTGGGGAGGAAGAAACCATTTTTTCTGTAGAATTGCAGCATTTTGCATGTTCATTTTCAGGAGAAAACTTTGCTGGTGGGAGAGCAAAAATCACTAATGCAGTAAACACCATTTTACTTAAATTTGGAGAAAGAAGAAAGAAAAATTTCTTCTGATAAGCTCATTTCCTCTCTTCCAAAAAGTGCCCTGTACCACCATGCTCTGTACTTAAATCTAAGTATTTATCTGTGTGTATCTGCATGTTTATGCATGGATTATGTAGAACTGGGACCTCGATTATAGGAAAGTAGGTCTGGAAGGGACCACACAAGATCTGTTCCAGCTCAAGGTAGGACCATGACTTTTTAAACCCTCCCAGGTAATTGTCTGTCTAACCTGCCCTTGAAAACTTCCAAGGATGGAGTTTCCACAGTTCTGCACTCTGTACCTTGCCAACCCAGGCCAGAAGCGTAGTGTGCTGCTGGCACTACCCCCCATTCACCTTGGCAGCTCATGAGTCCCACTCTGCCCCCTGCCTTTGTCCTGCTTAGGGCAGAACCTCTGTGCCCTGACCCCAGACAAAACACAGGACCCGCCACGCCTCCATGATCGGGGCAGCCCCACAGAGCTGGAGCCCAATTGGGCTGCAAGGCGAGCATGCATCCCTTTGCTGACTACCTGCAGCTGTAGGATGCCCGACTGATGATGTGGCAGCAAGGGGAGCCATGGTCACCCATGACTGGTAGCTGGTCAGGGTTACAGGACACTCGGCTGTGCTCAGCAGTGTCTGGCAACCCAGGGAGATCCTGGCAGGTGTGCAGGAGCACCTCCCCCTCCCCACCAAAGGGCAAACATGTGCTCTGTTTGCGCCCTGTCTAACCTAGGGTGCTTAAAGTAAACTGTGTAACTTTAATCGATTCTACCTCAAGTGTTGTGAATGTCTGTACCTAGCCTCTGTAGGTGCCCTTCAGGTATTTGAAGAGTGTTATCAAATCCCACCTCAGTGTTCTCTTCTCCAGACTGACTAGTCCTAGTGCTTTTAGCCTTTCCTCATAGGTCTTTCTTCCTAAGCCCCTAGTCATTTTTGAGGGATGATATGTCCCTTATGTAGTCTGCATCCATTTTTGTTTCTGCCTGCAGAGCTCTTTACCTTGGTCTACACACAGTTCCCTTCATTATTTTGACTGTTCCCTCAGCATCCCTGTGCATTTCCCTGCATGCTTTACGAGGGAAAGGACAGTCTGTTGTAGGACAGATTGGGGAGCAGTGGATGCGTTGTACTTCCACCTCTCCCTTAAGGGTCTGCTAGCTATAGCCAGCACCAGATAGCATGCATCAGAGAAACTGAATCAGTTGGTGCAGGGAAAGTTACATGGAGGAACACTGTGGAGGAGCATGTGTCCCTCCAATCTCCTTCATGGCTGGGCTTAGTTTGCAGAGGCAGCTTTCATATGGTGTTCACGTGTGAAGATTTCAGTTTTGTCAGCTGGTTTGTTTTTATCTAAAATAAAATATTTTCACTTGAGAGGAGACAGTTGCTACTTCTGCATGCAGTCATGAGTTCTGCTTGTGGCTCTTCCTTTTGTTCTGGTACAGGGAAGTATAGCAGATGCTGTCTCTTGTTCACCAGGAGTTTGCTGCAGGTTATGGAACTTGTTTGTGAAGGATCCAAAATGTCTGGATTGTGAATATCTTTGAGCTTTTGGGGGTGGGGGCGAGGGAAGCGGTGAGGGAGGAGGACAGAATACAAAACTGAACCTGAATTTCACCAGATCTCTAGCCTCTGTCTCTATTCACCTTTTTATCTGAAATCCCTGAACCTTAGGATGCACAAGACCATCATGCAAACGTTACATATGGGGCCTTCTTCCTTTTTATTTGCAGTTGTATTGCTATCAATTAATTATGGTGTCTGTTTTTTACTATCATACTACTGTCCCACTATCATACTAACCCTAACACTCTTCAGATCCTGGTTTTATGGAAGTAAATCCTTAAATACGTTTCCATTTGTGTACCAGTATTTTAAAGGCTGTCCATACAAATAAGCTGCAGTGTTTTATCAGATAAGGTGCCAAGTCTTCCTGGCCTTCCTGACTATTTTAGAAGGATGCTGTAGTGATACTTGGGTTTATTAGCTTTTCTAGCTGGAGCAGTGGTTTTCAACCTGTAGTTTGTAGACCTCCGGGGGCCCACAGACTATGTCTAAGGGGTCTCTGAAAGATGGCTATGATCACTCAAGAGTATGTGAAAACCCATACCTATCATTCAAAGGGGTGCATACCTCTATTTGAAATTTCCAGAGGGGCTCACAAATGAAAAAGGTTGAAAACAACTGAGTTAGGGCATCAGACAAATACATTATATCTTACAGGCAGTATTCACATTGCCCCCTACATCCTGAATAGATAAGGGTCTACCCAATTCAGTGGCAGCCAGCTGTTTTCCTGGGCAGATCATGGGGCCAGCTGCCATTTTCAAGGGCTTATCATGGCAGCCCCCCTGTGCCTGTTGTTGTACATGCTCCCCCTGCAGTTTTAAGGACTAGGGAGCAGGTTCAGGTAATGTATAAGCTAGACTCCTTTGTATTCAGGTTTTCATAAACTCATTTACTGAGATGCAAGTTTTACCACTCAGTACTCTCTCCAGAATTCCTGTTGGGTCATTTTTGAATACAGGCTTCTTCTAAAACCACTGTCTGTAAGGTCAAGAGATGGTGAAATACTTACTGCATCTTGTTTTCTGGGAGTAAAATGGTAAGTGATCTCCTGATGTCCCGTATGCCTGAAATGTTGCAGCTTGCACATTTTTAACACTCCATGCCAGAACTGAAGATTTAGGAGTATCATCTCTGAAAGATTTCATACGGACCAATCACAGTGGTTGAATTTATTTGAAAAAAAGGTGAGGGGGACCCATGGGGAGAGGAAAATCACAAAATGAGCTTTGGGAAATAGGTACCAAGAGCACCTTATTTTTCTATCAGAATTAACAGAAGATGCCTCGTGGGTAGAAAAACCTCCCAGTGTCTTGAGCTTTGATTGTCTTTAGTCGTTCTAGAGCACTGATTCTTAACCATCGTGCTGTAAAATGCTTTTAAGGGTGCTGTGGGTTGCTGCTCAATATTAGCACTGTTAAGTGTGTCAACACCTACACATGATTCACAAAATAAACCCAATGTGAAAAAATATTCAGAGTTGTCATGGGATTTTTTTTTTGTTTTGTTTTTTGTTTGGAGTTTTTTTCTG